AAGGCCAAGGCCAAGAAAGCCAGCGCCAAATTGGCGCCCAAATCCAAGGATCGCTACATCAGCAAGGCCGAGCGGGAAAGGCTGGCGGCTGAAGCTGCCGAGGCGCCCAGCCCGTCCCCCGAAGCCTGACTCAGCAGCCGCTCAACGCCACTTGCGGCCGCTCACCGGCAAAGAAAAACGGCCGCAGGCGCACACCCACGCTGTTGCCGATAAACGCTGCCACCAACCACATCCAGCCATGCAGACTGCCGGACGCGATGCCGCTGAAATACGCGCCGATGTTGCAGCCGTAGGCCAGGCGCGAGCCGTAGCCCAGCAGCAACCCGCCGATCACCGCCGCGATCAACGAACGGGCTGGGATCTTCAGGCTCGGTGCGAAACGTCCGGCCAGGCCGGCGGCCAGCAACGCACCGAGGACGATGCCGATGTCCATCACACTGGTGATGTCTTCCCACACCGGCGCGGCCAGGGCCTTGGCATTACCCGGCATCTGCCAGAATGCCCAGGCGCTGGCGTCCACGCCCACACCGCTCGCCACCTTGGCGCCCCACAGTGCGAACGCCGAAGTAATGCCCCACGGCCGCCCGGCCAACGCCAGGGTCGCGTAGTTCAGCAATGCCAGGCCAACGGCGCCCCACACCAGCGGCCACGGCCCGCGCAGAAAGCGGCGCACACCTGAATGCGGGCTTTTCACACCCTCTTCAAGCTGACCGTGGCGGCGTTTTTCCAGGCGCACCGTGACGGCTGCGATCAACGCAAACACCGCAAGGCTCAGGATCAAGGCCGGTACCACGCCGAAACTTTTGACGATGGACACCGCCGGGAACGCCGGCAACGCAAACCACCAATCCACGTGGTGAGTAGCGATCAGCGAGCCGCAGATAAAGAACAACAGGGTCACCAGCATGCGCGCATTACCGCCGCCCACGGTGAACAACGTGCCCGAGGCACATCCGCCGCCCAACTGCATGCCGATACCGAAGATGAACGCACCGAACACCACCGACACTCCAGCCGGCGCTACCAGCCCGACAACCGGCTGACCCAACAACGTGCCCGCCCCCAGCGCCGGGAAGAACAACAGCACCGCCAACGCCAGCATCACCATCTGCGCACGCAGGCCGGCGCCACGACGATCATTGATAAAAACCCGCCAGGCCGAGGTGAAACCGAAGGCGGCGTGGTACAGCGTCAGGCCCAGGGCCGCGCCGACCATCAGCAATAGCATCTGGCGCGAGCCGACAACGTTGTGCAGGAACAGCGCGCCCAGCACCAGCAGGGCAAAGGCCACCAGCGGCGCGACGGGTGCGCGCGCGGGGGTCAGGGGAATTGAGGCGTTCATGGGTCTCTCGCGGGTTGAAATAAATGAGGGGCAAGGGCGACAGTATAGATAAGCCCGAAGCCGTCTGGTGTCAGCCGCGGCCAATCGCACCCGACACCGGCAGATTCCCCAACAGTTTCAGCCCGGTGCTCTTCACAAAAGTGGGGTAATCCATCGGCCGCTGAATCCTTGTTTCAGCATTCGGCAGCACATAAGCCCACGCCCGTTGGGACGATGCGTCGTACACCAGCTTGAACAGCCGCGTCGGCACCCACACCCGGTTAGCACCGATGGTGCCGTGCCCCTCATCGAACAGCGGCCCAGTGAACACATACACATCGCCGCCGGCGCGAAGGGCGAACTTGCGCACGTCCGCCTCGACCTTGCTCCAGATCTTGCGGTTGTTGGTAGGGTCTTGCGGCACCATGTTCGACAACGCAAATGACTGGGCCATGGCCTTGGCATCGGGTGCGTCGGCGGCCGGGGATTGGTGGCCGCGGTCCATCGCCGGCTGCACGCCACGGTAGTCGCTCAACTCCGCGCGCGCGCCCTTAGGAATGCGCGGGTCCGCATAGAAATGGTTGGTTCGTTCTTCGCCTTTGGCGTCCTTGAGCTGGCGGGCGTTGAGGCGCTCGACCACCACCAGCGGTGTCTTGCTGGTTTGCGAATACAGCACCGCAAAATGGTCGGAGCACAGCGCCAGGGGTTTCAGGCTGGCGGGGACGGTCGCGGTTTTGATCGGTGTTGCGCCGGGGAATACATCGGCGCAGGTGTCGAACGACAACTGCCGTTCCTGGGTGGAATAAAGGTCTATCGCGCCACGGGCATGTGCCCCGGCCGAAAACAAAACAAAGGCCGATAGCCCAACTGCAATTTTGCGTAGGTACATGGATTGAATCTTCGACAGAGAGCGACGCGGCAGGCTCCGCGTACGGAGCCAAGTGAATGATATTTCGAGGATTATGGACTAACAGATGTCAGATTAGTGCCCGAGCGACGTAGGTTTTCCCGCACCCCGCGCGCCCGGCCTGAAGCCATGGGCGCTGGCCGCCCAGGCAATGGCAAACGCCACGCCGACCAACAGCAGCATCGCCCACGCAAATGCGGCCACGCCCCATGTGTCCAGCAGCACGCCACCCACTACGCCGCTGCCCGCAATCGCGCTATTCCATGCCACCACGTTCAGCGACAACGCCACATCCGCGCCATCACCCGCCGCGTCCGCCAGGGCGGTTTGCAACAAGGTCGCAGCGCCGCCGAAACTCAGGCCCCATACCGCCACGCCGAGGTAGATCACTTGTGGCACGTTCCCCAGTAAGCCCAATAGCACGCTCACCGCCGCAAACGCCGCCAAGCTCACCAGCACAGTGTTGCGTAACAACGGTTCGACCAGTCTGGCCGTGCCCCAAATCCCCGCCAACGCAGCGATGCCGAAGACCAGCAACACCAGATCCACCCGCTCGGCCAAGCCCGCCGGTGCCACGAATGGGGCAATATAGGTGTAGAGGATGTTATGGGCCAGCATCCAACTGATCACCACCGCCAGCACCGGGCGCACGCCGGGCGTGGTCAGCACCTTGCGCAATGACAGGCGCTGATGCGCGGGCTGTGGCGCAAAGTCCGGGACCTTCACCAGCACCCAGCCGATCAGCACCAGGCTCACGCCCGACATCAGGCCGAAAGTGGTGCGCCAACCCAGCAGGCCACCGAGCCAAGTGCCCAGCGGCACACCCAACGACAGCGCAATCGGCGTACCGACCATGGCCAACGCCAGCGCCCTACCCTGTTGCTGCGGCGCGACCATCCGGCGGGCATAACCGGCGAGCAAGCTCCAGGCCAACCCTGCCGCCACCCCGGCGAAGAAACGCGCCACCAGCGTGACCCCATAGTGGGAGGACAACGCGGTGATGGAGTTGAACAGCAGGAAACCGGCGATGGTCAGCAGCAATACGTTGCGTCGGCGCCAGCCACGAGTGGCGATGGTCATGGGGATCACCGCCAGTACTGAACCCAGCGCATACGCGGTGACCATCTGCCCGGCCATTGACGGCGAAATCGCCAGGCCGTCACTGATCAACGGCAACAGGCCGGCGGGCAGGGTTTCGGTGACGATGCAGATGAAGCCGGTCATCGCCAGGGCGAGCAAGGCGCCGACGGGCAAGCGGTCGGACGAAGCCGATAACGTCAGTGAGGGGGGCACGGGAAACTCCTGGGCAAATTGATTTAAATACTGATCGATACAAATGTAGCAGGCGGGCGCAGCGCGTTGTCAACGACTTATGTATCGACTAGTATCTATTTCGCTTTCCGAAGGAGACCTCACATGGCACAGATGGGCCGCCCGCGTAATTTTGATCGCGAACAGGCTGTGGAACAGGCGTTGCATCTGTTCTGGCAGCACGGCTATGACGCCACGTCCCTTGCCCAGCTCAAAGCGGGTTTGGGCGGTGGCATTTCCGCGCCGAGTTTTTACGCCGCTTTCGGCTCCAAAGAAGCGCTGTTCGAGGAGTGCGTGCAGCGCTACCTGTCCACCTACGCCCAAGTCACCGAATGTTTGTGGGACGAAACCCTACCGCCGCGCCAAGCCATCGAAACCGCGCTGCGCCAATCGGTGCGTATGCAATGCGAAGACGGTCACCCCAAGGGCTGCATGGTTGCACTTGGCGTGATGAGTGCGCCCAGTCCGGAAAACGCGCGGGTAGCGAATGCGCTGACCCAATCGCGACTGCGCACGCGGGCGGGGATTGTGGCGTGTGTGGAGCGGGCCGTGCGTGAAGGTCAGTTGCCTGAAACAACCGAAGCTGCGGTGATGGCTACCGTGTTTGACAGCTTTTTGCAGGGAGTATCGATCCTGGCGCGGGATAACGTGCCCCATGCAATCCTTGATGCCGCGATCAGCCAACTGTTGGTGACGTGGGACGCTGCGGCTTCTTCCGTGCCGGCCGCTGAGCCTGAAGTCGGTGGCGCAAAATAAAGGCGCTCCGAAGAGCGCCTTTATTCATTGCTGTATTACTGCTCGCTGATCGACTTCACTTCAGCCTTGTTCGCGCCGCCAATCGCAATGCGTTTAGGCTTGGCTTCCTCCGGCACCACTCTGAGCAGATCGATGCTCAGCAGGCCATTGGAGAGCTGCGCGCCCTGCACTTCAATGTGGTCGACCAGGCGGAACGACAAGCGGAACGCGCGCTGGGCGATACCTTGATGCAGGTAGGTGATGTTTTCGTCGTGTTCGCGTTTGCCGCCGGCGACGGTCAACACGCCTTTTTCCACCTGGATATCCAGGTCGTCTTCCACCAGGCCGGCAGCGGCGATCACGATGCGGTAGTGATCATCACCGTGCTTCTCGACGTTATGGGGTGGGTACGTGGTACCGGCCTCGCTGCGAAGCGCCGATTCGAAAAGGTCGTTGAAACGGTCAAAGCCAACGGAGTGGCGGAACAGTGGGGCCAACGAGAGAGTAGTAGCCATTGCAAAATCTCCTGAGTTTTCTCCAAGTGATTTGATACGCGACCCGTATTCGGCATCGCGTAAAACCTAAGTAGGTTCAGGGGAAAAAATTTCAAGCGACGACCCAAAAAAAATTTTCCTGCCGACAAACGGCTGTTTGGCCCCTCGGAATGAGATATCAGAACAGGTCTATTCCGCAGTCTCGGCCACGCCCTGATCCTCCCCCAGAAACCCGCCGCTCTGGTGATGCCATAACCGCGCATAGGTGCCGTTCTTCTCTAGCAACTCGGCGTGGCTACCTTGCTCGATGATGCGACCGTTATCCATGACGATCAGTCGATCCATGGCGGCGATTGTGGACAGTCGATGGGCGATGGCAATGACGGTCTTGCCCTTCATCATTTCATCCAGGCTTTCCTGGATGGCGACTTCGACTTCCGAATCCAGCGCACTGGTGGCCTCGTCAAGCAGCAGGATCGGAGCGTTCTTGAGCATCACGCGGGCGATGGCGACCCGTTGGCGCTGGCCGCCGGATAACTTGATGCCCCGCTCACCCACCAACGTGTCGTAACCGCAGTGGCCTTGTTTATCGCTCAGTTGGCTGATGAAGCCGTCAGCCTGGGCACTCGCGGCGGCACTGCGGATTTGCTCATCGGTTGCATCGGGGCGCCCGTAAGCGATGTTGTCGCGAATCGAGCGGTGCAGCAGGGATGTGTCTTGGGTAACCATGCCGATGGCGCTGCGCAGACTGTCCTGGGTGACGTGGGCGATATTCTGCCCATCGATGCAGATCTGCCCTTTGTCCACGTCATAGAAGCGCAACAACAGATTGATAAGCGTGGATTTACCGGCACCGGAGCGCCCCACCAGGCCGATTTTTTCGCCTGGGCGGATGCTCAAGCTCAGGCCATCGAGAACCTGGCGTTCGCCATTGTAATTGAAGCTCACGTTGTCGAACGTCACGGCGCCGCCGTGGGTGAGCAGCGTGGCGGCATCCGGCGCGTCCTGCACCTTGGGCCCGCGGGTCAAGGTTTGCATACCGTCCTGCACGGTGCCGATGTTCTCGAACAGCGAGGTCATCTGCCACATGATCCAATGCGACATACCATTGACGCGCAACGCCATGGCGGTGATGGCCGCCACCGCGCCGGTGCCCACTGCCCCTTGGTGCCACAGCCACAAGGCATAACCGCCCGCGCCCATGATCAACGCGACCACTAGTGCCTGATTGACGATCTCGAACTGGCTGACCAGGCGCATCTGGCGAAAACCGGTCTGCTTGAAGTCCTCCATCGCCGCGCGCGCGAAATGCGCTTCACGCTTGGAATGGGAGAACAGCTTGACCGTGGTGATATTGGTGTAGGCGTCCGAAATACGCCCGGTCATGGACGAGCGCGCATTCGCCTGCTCCTGCCCGACTTTGCCCAGGCGCGGCACGAAGTACCCCATGGCCAGGCCGAACAACGCCAACCAGGCAATGAAAGGCAGCATCAGCTTCGGGTCGAAGCCGCCGGCCAGTGTGATAAGCGCGATGAAGTACACACCGATTCCGGGGGCCATCTCGATCAGGGTGAACAGCACCTCGCGCACCGACAGCGCCGTCTGCATGACCTTGGTGGTGACACGGCCGGAGAACTCGTCGGAGAAGAACGACAGGCTTTGTCGCAGCATCAGCCGATGGAAATCCCAACGCAGCCGCAACGGCAGGTTGATCGCCAATACCTGGTGCTGCACCAGCGTGCGCAGCGCTACCAGCGCAATGCTGGTCACCAGCACGATACCGATCCCCCACAGCACCCGGCTTTCCTGCCCGCCTGCATCGCCGCCGGCTTGCCAGGTCGACAGCAGGTCCACCACCTGTCCGAGAAAAGCAAACAACCAGGCTTCGTAGATCGACACACTGGCACTGAGCAGCGCGAGCGCAACGATATAACCCCGGGCACCACGGGTGCAGGCCCACAAAAATCGCGCCAGGCCCTCGGGGGGTGGAGGCGCCTCGTCGGGCGGGAAAGGGTCGAGGCGTTGTTCGAATGCACGAAGCATAGGGTTCTCCAGAACGATCTAGTGCGGGGATTCTGGCATTTAAAGGTTGGCTTGAGGGCGTATCGGGATAGAACCCTGCTCTGCAAGCAGGGTCTGCTCTTGAATCAGATCTCAGGAATACGTCGAATGTCAGCGCAAAACAGTCTTGTCATGCTCGCTCGAGGAGGCTACGCCGCTCGGGGAGTGCTGTATCTGATCATCGGTATCTTCGCGCTGCTGGCAGCACAGGACTCGACAAAACCGAAGGATAGCCACAAAAGTCTGGAAGCATTGCTCAGCCAACCATTCGGCTATTTTTTAATTGGGGTTGTGGTGGCGGGCCTGCTCTCATTTGCCTCTTGGCGCATGCTGCAGGCTACCCGTGATGTCGATCATCATGGCAAAGAACTCAAGGGTTTGGTGATTCGAACCGGCCTGTTTGCCGGAGGCGTCGTTAATGGCGCGCTGGCGTTTTTTGCATTGGGCCTGCTTATAAGCGGCATTAAAAGCTCGGGTAATTCCGGGGGGCAGGCCAAAGACTGGCTGTCCCATCTATTGTCCTGGGAACATTCGAACATGTTGGTTTACCTGATCGCCCTCATTCCGCTTGGGGTCGGTATTGCTCACATCATCAAGGGATGGAAGGCATCGTTCGAAAAATATTTTGAGGCCGATGAAGATGTCATGCGCTACGTGCGCCCCGTATCGCGATTCGGATTGATCGCCCGCGGCGTGGTGTTTTTAGAGATTGCAGTGTTATTGGCCATCAGCGGTTCCACTTATCAAGCCATTGACCCACCCGGCATGAAGGAGGCGCTGGACGCCCTCCAGAACCTACCCGCTGGGTGGTTGCTTTTGATGGTAATGGCCTTGGGGCTGATCGCTTTCTCGGCTTACAGTTTTTCTGAAGCCTTCTGGCGCAAGATCAATATGGATGTGCCGGGGGTGGCGAGAACGTAGCAGGCCACGGCCGTTTGTGGCGGTTTTAGAGACGCGCTTATGCTGTGCGCTCGAATCACCCGGAAAAATCCAAGGCAAAAAAAAGCCTGCATCGCTGCAGGCTTTTCCCTATCTGGCTCCACGACCTGGACTCGAACCAGGGACCCAATGATTAACAGTCATTTGCTCTACCAACTGAGCTATCGCGGAATGCGCCGTATGTTACTGATTGAAAAGGAGAAGTCAAGCATTGCCTGGCAAACGTGAGGATTAATTCCCCGGCTCGCCCGTCAGCGGCTGTTCTGCAGCCAGGTCCAGCCAGGCGCGGGCGGCCGGTGGTAAGTGGGCGTTGGCGCGCCAGGCCAGGGCGATGTGCCAATCGGTATGGGGCTCGTCCAACGCGACCAAGGCAATGCCGGCGTGTTGATGCTTGTGCGCCAACATTCGTGGCAGGAAGGCGACGCCCAGGCCAGCCGCGACCAGGTCGACAATAAAATCGATCTGCCCGCTGCGTGCCGTCACGCGGGGGGTTACGCCTTTGCGCTCGCAGGCCGCGAGGATCTTGGCGTTCAGGGCGAAACCGGCTTCGAACAGGATGAAGGGCGAGTCTGCCAGGTCGGTGAAGTCGATACACTCACGCCCTGCCAGGGGATGGTTCATGGGCAGCACGGCGATCAGCGGCTCATTGCGCACCGGTTGATAGTCGAAGCCCTCGTCAATCGGTAACAACAGTGCCGCCAGGTCGACCTCCCCTTCTTCCAGGCATTCGCGCAGGCGCTTGCTGCCGTATTCGGTCAGCTCAATGTCAATGTCCGGGTAGCGGCTGCGGTAGGTGGCGAACATGGTCGCAAACAGCACGCCGCAGCCTACCGGTGGCAAGCCGATGCGCAACATGCCGCGCTTGAGGCCGCGCAGGTCGTTGATTTCGCCGAGCAGGTCGCTGTGTTCGGCCAACAACACCTGGGCGCGACGGTAGGCAATTTCGCCGGCGGCGGTCAGTTGGTTACGATGCCCAAGGCGGTTGAGCAGCGGCATGCCCAGTTCCTCTTCGAGGGTTTTGACCGCCTTGCTCACGGTGGACTGTGTCAGAGACACCACCTCGGCTGCCTGAGAAAAACCGCCCTGGCGCACCACCTCGACAAAGGCGCGCAGTGTTCGCAGATTCATCGGTATTCCTTTGGCGACTGGAAGCCAGTGATAAAAGTTGTTTTTATCATGCCAGAAGTTCGCTTATGGTGGAGCCACCTTGCCCTGTGGATTGACCGTTGATGATCATTTCGTCCGCCTCCGACTACCGCGCCGCCGCCCAACGCAAACTGCCGCGTTTTCTGTTCGACTATATCGACGGCGGTGCCTACGCCGAGCACACGCTGCGGGCCAACAGCGCGGACCTGGCCGACATCAGCCTGCGCCAGCGCATCCTGCGCAATGTGGATAACCTCAGCCTCAACACCACCGTGCTCGGCCAGAAGCTGGCGATGCCGGTGATTCTCAGCCCGGTAGGGTTGACCGGCATGTACGCGCGCCGTGGCGAAGTACAGGCAGCCAAGGCCGCCGCCAACAAGGGCATTGCGTTCTGCCTGTCGACGGTGTCGGTGTGCTCCATTGAGGAAGTGGCATCGCAAAGTCCGCAGGCCATCTGGTTCCAACTTTATGTACTCAAGGACCGCGGTTTCATGCGCAACGCGCTGGAACGCGCGCAGGCAGCCGGGGTGACGACGTTGGTGTTCACCGTGGATATGCCCACGCCGGGGGCGCGCTATCGCGATGCTCACTCGGGCATGTCCGGGCCGTACGCGGCCTCGCGGCGCATGCTGCAGGCTGTGACCAAGCCGCAGTGGGCCTTCGACGTGGGCCTGATGGGTCGCCCCCATGACCTGGGCAATATTTCCAAGTACCTGGGCAAACCCACTCATCTGGAAGACTACATTGGTTGGCTGGCCAACAATTTTGACCCGTCGATCAGTTGGAGCGACCTGGAGTGGATCCGCGAATTCTGGAAAGGTCCGATGATCATCAAAGGCATCCTTGACCCCCAGGACGCCAAGGACGCCGTGAGCTTCGGCGCCGATGGCATCGTGGTGTCCAACCATGGCGGCCGCCAATTGGATGGCGTGCTGTCCACCGCCAAAGCGTTGCCGGCGATTGCCGAGGCCGTGGGCGATGACCTGACGGTGCTGGTGGACTCCGGCATCCGCTCCGGCCTCGACGTAGTGCGCATGCTCGCCCTGGGCGCCAAAGCGTGCCTGCTGGGGCGCGCGCCCTCCTACGCGTTGGCCGCCGACGGCCAGCACGGGGTCGAAAACCTGCTGGATATTTTCGCTAAGGAAATGCGCGTAGCCATGACCCTGACCGGTGTGACTTCAATCGAGCAGATTAACGCCGACACCTTGGTACAAGCAGCCAAATAACCGGCGCGGGCCCTCCACACCTGGGGCTGGCCTGCTACAGCGACCATTGATTCGTAAGGTTTTTTATTAAATTAAACGAAGTGGCATGAATCTCGCTCTAACCTGTTCCAAGCAGGTCCAGCGATGACAAGACGTGCGGCGGTGCCCAGGGGTTAAAACCCTCTGTAAAGCGGTTTAGACTGTTTCAATGTTTTACGAAACTGACGGAACAGTAAGACCCCGGCACTCGCCACACGCATCGGGCCTGTAAGACTCTTAGAGGCCGAACGGTTATGAAAACACCTACCCAGACCAACGCAATTGATTTCGACACAGCCAAATTGCAACGTCTGGGCTTCGGCCAGCCGCTCCCGCCACCCCGCCGCCCCACTACCGTTGCTCAACTGCGCCAGCAACTGGGCCTGCAATTGCAGACCAGTCTGGAACCGGAGCGCATCCTCAGTGTGTTCTTCCGTGAGATCCAACGCCTGGTGCCCCTGGATGCCCTGCATTATCGTCACGACGCCGCAGACCTGCGCCTGGAGTTCGGCCAGCGCGGCCATCACTCGGTGAGCTACAGCCTGAGCCACGAGGGCGAGCATCTGGGAGAACTGATCTTTCGCCGTAACCAACGCCTGAGCGAAGAAGAACTCGGCCAGCTCGAATCGCTGCTGGCCACCCTGCTCTATCCCATGC